TCTACTTCCCTCTAGTTCCCTAAACTCCATGCTTGAAGGAGTGTACTTTTTCTCTTATAAATTACTGTATAATTATACCTGTCCAGATTCCCCTTGCCTGCCCCACTTTCTCACACACACATACTCAAATTTTAATCCGGAGTCTGCTCACTGAAGTTCTGTGCCATTATTCCCACTAACAAAGCCCTATTCCTGTCACCGTGTCCCCTTCAACCCCTAGTCAACATTTAAGAACAGCCACTGACACCTTCCTGGCCAGTCTCTAGGCTCTGGGTCTTCCTCACCTACCTACTCAGACACAGATGAAATTCTTGCCAACATTATGAGGCCATCCTTAACGGGAAGCTGTTCTAGATTAAAGAACATAGTTTTTCTCACTCATTTTCTCCCATATAGATCAAGAAGACTCTTGGCAGAAGAAAAAGTAGGGCCGTTCTAAATTATTCATGACCCCCGCCCCTTCCCCACTCTATAAATTAGGATGCGCTCAGATACATGGAAGAGAACACATGGACAACAATGGCTTAAACTCTTGCTTATCTTTTTAAACATTCCTAAGAAAGTCATCCTAGCGTTGCTTTGACTGCTCAGCAATGTAGAGAAGGACCCAGGTCCTTTTCCTCCAACTATTTCACTATCCTTAGCATGCTGGCCATTAATTTTTCAATATTGCCTCACAGTTGCAAATTGGCTACCACAGATCCAGGCATCATCGTATCTTCAACTGGCAGTGCTGCATGCAGGAAACAAGTGGTTGACATAAAAAAAAAAAAAAGGAAAGAAAGAAAGAAAAATTTAAGTGCTCTCTTTCATGAGCCTCAATCTCTTTATACAGAGAGGCAAATCTTTATCAAAGGCTCAGAAGATTGCTTTTTACCTTTCACTGGCCCCTGCCCAACCTTAGAACAATATTGGCAAAACAAATCTAAGCCTTTCATGGATTAACCCACTGGGAATAAGCACATCTCTGCCAAAACAAAATTAGAGTGCCTTAGAAAGGAAGTAGGAAGCTACATACTGAGTAGACAACTAACCATGCCTACCAGCCATCACCCAAACTGACTTTGAGAAATGTGTCACTGGATTATCTGGGTTTCTTTGATCCTTCCTCCCTTCCTTCCTCCCACTACTAAGGAGCATTTAAGTAAAATTACAATGTGGCATAATTCTAAGAGCGAGTTCTATTTATCCCTTCTGTGTACAGTCTAGTCCTTTAATAAATGTAATAAAGAAGTAGTTCTGTCTCTCTAAGAAGCTGTAGAAAAATAAATCAGAATAAAAAAACAGCTGAGTTACTGAAATGCTGTATAAACTACATCATGCTTTTTTATTTGTTTACTTTGCCATTTCAGCTCTGCTTTATTGAATTCTGGGTTGCTCAGTTGCTTCAATGGATAGTTGATGCTGTAAATTAAGTTACCCAGCCTCTCAATCTGTCAAGAAGCAGTCCATTCAACATTTATTGAGGGCCAGTTGTCTCTAGCCACTTGAGAAGAGTTGCATATGTAAAGCAACCCTGAAAATTCCAGAAGAAAATATTTAATCATATAAACATATCTATAATATAGTTTTGATTCTCAGGTATGGAGTTTTCTTAGAGTAAGTCAGTCTTTCAAATTATACATATTTAAATAATGCTGTGTTCCTTCTTTATTTCCCTATCAATCTAATATCCCCCCTTTGTTAGGTTTTGTTCCTTCCCCTTTAATAGTGGCTCTATTTATCGGAATCTGTTTGTTCCTCATTTTTCAAGTTTAAGCTAACAGATGGAGAGTCAAGTTTCTTATAAACATCTGTGCAGAAACGCTTTACCTATAGCTCCTCCTGTGCAGAAACGCTTTACCTATAGCTCCTGCTGCAAGTAAAACTGATTTTAATTGTAGGGTATTTGAAAATTTCTCTCACAGGTGCTGCAAGTGCAAGTTTTCAGTGTGAGAACAAGTTCTCACCTAGGCTCTCACTGTCAGGCACATTCGTGTTCCAAACAAATCATCCACACTACTAGAGCAGTGGTATAAACAGACCCTTGACAGTAAACAACAGTTTTGATATCACAGATGTTTATAAGAGTCTGCTCTTTCCAGCCTGCTCATCCTCTTTGACTTTAAGGACCATCCTTCCACCTTCCTTCTACGTAATCCCTGTATATTCAGGGATGAGGGATTAGCCTACACTCAGACAAACCTGGACTCAATTTTTTATCATATAAATTTATTTCAGTGTTCACTATCCATATGCAAAGCATTGCAATAAATTCTATAAACTGGGATTGGAAACCTTATTATTCCAAATGCCTCTATGTCCCTTAATCACACTCTGAAATCATTCACAAATATCTGAAGTGTCTACTCTAAAATCATGTATATATGTCTGACCTCCTTTTAGTTCTCACTATCATAGATTGATTTCAATTCATCATTCTTCATATGGGTTTTGGTAAATATGTTTAAAACCGGTCTCCTTGCTTCCAATCACTGCTATGGCCAGAAACATCCTCTCTGCCCCACTTCCATGTGACAAATATTTATTGAGCACCTGCTGCATGTCAGAGTTTGGGGTGGACATTGAGTAGAGAGTGCTGAGCAAATCAAAACCCACTACTCAGTGAACTTAAACTCTAGCTCAAGAGATAAGGTAGCAATTACATAAACAAACAATCCACATGTTTGTTTAGGATGTTTAGGTAAAGAAAAACTAGTGGGGAGTGCTATGTATATAGAGCAGTCAGTGAGGAGGTATCATTTAAAATAAAACCTCTAGAAAGGGAAGAAACCAGTCACAAAGAGATTCAAAGAGAAGAACATAACAAAGGTCCCAGGCTGGAAGGAAGCCCATAGTGGCTGGGGCCCTGTATACAATGGGGAGGTTGTATGAGACAAGGTGGGAGAGGTAAACAGAGGTGAAATCACTCACAGCATCACAGGCCCTGATCACAAGACTGAATCAAATGTGAAGCAAAATTGGGAGCTGGGGAAGGGTTTTAGGCAAAGGATTTTACATTCTTTAAAAATCACCAGAATTGTTTCCCAGTCCCAATATGTGGGTCAATCCTCTGCATCACAAAAATTATACGGCTCCTGATGAATGGAGTGACCACATTTCCAGCATGCTCAGGAGTTGGTTTCCACCTGTTGTCCTAGTATAATCATTAACAGTTCCCTACTTTCACTCTCACAAGGGCCCTAGGGAGACAAAAAATTGTATGGTCAACTTAGTGATAGGAAATAAACTAAAACAGTCCTTAGGTTGTCATTCAAGGCCCTTCTGAACCTGGTCCCAATTCACTTCTCTTCCTTTCTCCCTCATGGTGTTCTGGTCACTTCTGAAATGTAATGCTGACAGTATCCTAAATGGCACATGTGTTCTTTACTGCTCTGCCTTTGGTCATGTTCCTGCCTCTTGCTGCACGCTCCGTGACCATGCCTAGTAGACAGAACCTTGAGGGCCAGACCTGAGAAGTCTTCAAAACCAGGCAGAATGAATGGCTTCTTCCTCTGTGCTCTGTCAGTATCTTTATTAAAGCATTTATCACACTGGGTTAACTATTTATAGGTCTATCTTCCCTGCTAGAATGGTAGGTACTTAATGGCAAGGACAGCACCTCTTACGTGTTTTTTGGGTCCCCACCACCCACTGCATACCTGGTACATAGCTGGTACATGATATATGACTGCTAGATGAATTATTTAATATAAATGCAACATAACATACATAGTAAAATAATAAGGTTAAGTAATGAGATTTTAAATTTTATCCAGTAAGTTAAAACATTATTGCCTTCAAATCTAGATATTTTCATTCTCCAACTTTATCCCAATATCTACTGTAGCCTCATTCATCAGGAAGTAACAATAAATGTTTAATGAATGACTACAAGTAAAAAAAAAATCTTTATAGGGCAAGAAGTCTAGTTTTAGGAAACTAAACAATTTCTAAATAATTGTGAAGATGAAATAAACCAGAATTAGTATAACCACTGTGGAAAATGGTATGGAGGTTCCTCAAAAAATTAAAAATAGAAATATCATATGATTTAATAATTCCACTATTGTATATTTACCCAGAGAAAACTAAAACCCTATCAAGAAAAGAGATATGCACCCCTATGTTATTGCAGCATTATTTACAATAGTCAAGACATGGAAGCAACCTAAGTGTCCATCAATAGACAAATGGATAAGGAAAATGTTATACATACATGTAGATACACATACACGAACACACACACACACACACACACAAAATGGAATATTACACAGCCAAAAGAAAGGATGAGATCGCATCATTTGAGGCAACATGGAAGGACCTAGACAGTATTATACTAAATGAAATAAGTCAGACTGAGAAAAATAAATACCATATGATTCCACTCATAAACAGAATCTAAAAAAAAAAAGAATAAACAAACAAAAAGCAGAATCAGACCCATAAATACAGACAACAAACTGATGGTTGCCAGAGGGGAGGGAGCTGGGAGACTGGGCAAAATGGGTGAGGGAGAGGAGGAGATAACAGCCCTCCAGTGATGGAACGAGTAAGTCCTGGGAATAAAAGGCACAGCATAAGGAATAAAGTCAATGATACTGTAATAGCGATGTAACAGGAGAGATGATAGCCACACTATTGGTGAATATGGCATAATGTAGAGAGTTGTCAAATCACTAAACTTTATACCTGAAAATAATGTAACATTGTGTGTCAGCTATACTCAGTTTTTCTAAAAAATTAAATTAAATTAGAAGTAAACAATAAAGGGGCACCTGGGTGATTCAGTCACTTGGGCAACCGATTCTTAGTTTCAGCTCAGCCCATGATCCCAGGGTCATGAAATCGAGCCACTGGGCTCAGCACTCTGCACTGAGTCTGCTTGAGATTCTCTCCCTCTCCCTCTGCTCCTCCCCTCTCCACTTGCTCGTTCTCTCTCTCTAAAATGGATAAATAAGTCTTTTTTTAAAAAAAGTAAATAATAAAGACCCAGAATGACATTTTCATACACTCACCACTCTTAAACACTCCCGCATGCATCCTGCTCAGAAGAAGTTTGTGGCGTAATTGCAGAACTTCAGCTTCCAAGGCTTGGACTTTTGATCTCCATGTTGACTCCTGCTCAGACACCACCTTTGCAAGGTGCTCTGTGTATTCTCTGCTGCTTGTGTCTGCTGGTGTTGAGCGGATAATTGCCAAGGCCAGAGCCAGCTTTGATGTTCTCAAATACCATATTTGATCATCCATCCTGGCTTTTGTCCCTATCATTTAGTAAGAAAAAAAATTGCAGAAATTTCTTTTAACTTTTGTAGTGCATTTCATGTGCTCAAAATTGATTTTGCAGAGTAACGCTAATTAATAAGTTTGTTAAAGAACTTGACACCAAGTAACAGAAAAAAATTTTTCAGGAACTGAAGAGAGTATGAAAAATACGCAAAAGAAAAATGCATACACATGCATATTAAGTGTATTAAGATTCAAAACAGTAGGTTCAGACAAGTTGACAAATTCCTGGGGTGGAAAAAACACACATTAATTCATTTAGTGTTTTCTAACCAGAGGCACACATCAGAGTCTCTAAGGGAGCTTTAAATATACATACATATACATATATCTAGAGGTCCCATCTCCCCAAAATTCAGATCCAGCAAATCTGGGAAGGGCACTGAGGCTTTTACATTTTGAAAGGAGTTAACTCTGTAATCAGAACCACTAGATTAAATCATTTAAATGTAAACCCTTCTACTCCAACCCATTCTGCTAAGTCTTACAGTCCCTGCTTCCCAGTCCTGCATTACTATTCCTGCCTTTAACCATGCCCCTTCAATCTATACTAAGAACAATCCTTAAAATATTTGCATCATTTAAGTTGTGGCCGTGCTCTGATTCTGCACCTCCAAAGATTTCCGATTGCCACTTCCAAACCAGCACTGTATCGCAGTCTGACTCTAGGAATTTATTTGTGAGGACATGACAGACCATTGCATTCACTGGATGAATACGATGACCCTTACTGAAGTATAAACACCCAGTGGGCCTCCACAAGGGGGAGCTTTGCACATAAAATGTGCTACATAAAGATTCGTAATGATTAGTACAATGGTCCAGGGAATTTAGGACCTTTGGTTGCCACATCTATAACAAATTCAAATTCTTTACTCCACATTTCAAATTTTATTTTTTCAATTTCTCAAGCCTATCCTTCCACTGTGGTTAAATCATACTCATACAAATAGATGCACTCAGCCTAAGCTCATTTCCATTCACATCGCTGCTCCTGAATTTTCCCCAGTTGTGACATCCTGACTCTCATAGCTGCCAAAGCCCTGGTGGTGCATCCTTCAAAGAACAGTTCATATACCACCATATGCAATCTTTTCAGATTTATTACCACCTATAAACTGTTTACCTATCTGATATTCTATAGTTTAGCACTGAAAATACACAAGCTAAGAGGAAGCGTAATATTGCTTTATTATAATCAGAGATCAACACAAAAATGTATGTACGATATGTTCATAACAGAATAATTTATAATTGAAAACTAGGACCAACAACCAAATAGTTAAGTAAATAATGATATGACCATTCAAATGAATATCATCTATTAAAATAGGGGTTTTCAGAGATATTTTTTATGACCATGAGAAAGTACTAATGACATGCTGAGTGGAAACACAGTGAGGACATAAAATTATATGTATAGTAGGAGCCCAATTATATAAAAAATGGGAAATGCAAAAAATGTAAATAGGATTTATCTCTACTATATAATTATCGGTGATTTTTATTTTCTTACAGATACTTCTCTAAATTTTCCTAATCTTTGGCAATGAACATATATCAAATTATAATTAGAAAAAAATTATGAAGAATAGATTTCCAAAAGCAAAGTATAGCTGCCATATTTTTAGCCTTTCGCAGCTGTATAATATACCCAGGACTAGATGTTGCTATTAAGATAGACAAACTAATTAGAATTATAGCTGCACTTATTTTAGCCTTCACAACAACCATGTCACTTGGCTGTTCATCCCTCATCTGCTGTGTCAGCGATGGGGACCAGACTCCCTGCTTCCCAGTGCTTCGGGAGAGCTCCTGTGTAGAGAGAGCACACAGCATGGATGGCCTTCCTAAAGAAGTAAGCCTACCATCAGATATAACAGTACTGACTGAAGATAACAATAATAACAATAATGAAAATAATAACCTATTTAAAGTGTTTTGGCTGGAACATGAGCTGACATTCAATTATGAATGGTGGCAACCTAGGCTAAAAACTAAAAAGAAAAAAAACCTCTTTATTAGTACAAGAGAATAAAATTCTCTGGATAACAGAAACACAGAAATCTCCCTGTCTTCTTGCAAAGATAATTAATTGATTTAAGTGAGCTGATTAATTAAATGTTCTGATTTTTAGTCATCATATGTGATTTGCTAATAGTCTTAAAATCACGCTGAATGTCAGTCAACAAAAAAAGAACAAATTATAAAGTCCTTCTGGATTATAACTATCCCAGGGTCACTCGTCTGAACACTAATTAGAATTGTACCACAAGTGAACAGAAGTGATTGCTAATAGATATGTTGGTACAGCCTTCTACCATATAAATTACTCTCAAAACACACACAGAACTACAACCTACAACCACACAGAAGCAGGCATTTTAAACCCCTTCCTCATATTTTAGAGTGTGTGTGTTTATAAACATGTGCCATTTTTATCTAAGGATAACATTCTTATCCTCAAAGTACCATTTGCAAGGTAAAGATAATTCTATTTCCCCTGAAATTTCGTGGAAAAAAATATGAGCTTCCTAAACTTATTCTCTACTTAAATGAGGAAAGATTGGTAGTAACTTTCAGAAAGCCTTTTTAAAATTCAATTTATGTTCAAATAATTATCGTAAATAATTAAAATGAACATTAAATGTTCCCCAAGAAGGTAGTTAGTGTCTTTGAATTCTTAACAGCAGAAAACACAAAATCTTAGCAGTCTTATACAGCATTAGCCCAAATGAGCTTTCTTTTTCTTTACATTTGAGAACAGACCTTACCGTAGCAAAGTCCCCACAGGGCTACCGAGAAATCTAGTCACATTCCTTATGACCCTTCATAAGGGTCTGGATTCTCCTTCAAGCAGTGCATGCAGAAATGGCTACTCTGCAAAGCGTATTTCGGCAATTTTTATCTGCCCTATTTCTCCTACCCTCGTTTTCACCTACTGAACTTTAATTTGTATCAACTAATCAATTCTCTAAACTGTCAAAACTGTTTTGAATTATAATCCTGAATTCTAAATTCTGTTCATCTCCAAGATCACTGATGAAAATTCCACGAACTAAAGAGCCCCAGATCGTTCCTATATAAGAAGTGAAAGTTTAAATTAGGTAGCCATTCAGGAGGATATTTCCCTAATGTGTACCAAACACCAAAATACTTATCCCCCTTTGGACCAGCAATACAAGTTCTAAGACCTTAAAAACATGACCAAAGCTACATACAAAGCCTTATGCCCACAAATGATCTTATAGGATTATTTATAATTACTAAAACAAAACAAAACCTGTCACAGCTTGAATATCTAACAGATGCATTCAATTGTGACATAATACATAATTGAATTGAAAATGTTTTTAAAATATTTAAAACTATGGGAGAGTATTTCCCACATGATGTTAACTGCAGGGTAAACATAAAACAGTAAATTCAGTAAAACTGCAAAATGGAGGGGGGGAGATCCATAGACAGAGACTGATATATTGATAGATTTCGAGATAGAAGGGGGGAGGAAAGAGGAAAAGAAAAGAAAGAGGGAAGGAGGAGCGAGGGAGACAAACCAGGGTTATTCACCAAAATACAAACAAAACACTGAGTATGAGCTGAAGAAGTCTGATTTCATTTTCTTGTTTATGCTTTTCTATAGTTTCCAAGTTTTCCACAATAAACATTATGAAATATGCTATATACAACAGAAAAATTCTTTTTTTTAATTTAAAAAAAAATTTTTTTTAAAGATTTTATTTATTTATTTGAGAGACAGAGAGAGAATGAGAGAGAGAGAGCATGAGGGGGGGAGGGTCAGAGGGAGAAGCAGACTCCCCGCCGAGCAGGGAGCCCGATGTGGGACTCGATCCCGGGACTCCAGGATCATGACCTGAGCCGAAGGCAGTCGCCCAACCAACTGAGCCACCCAGGCGCCCACAACAGAAAAATTCTTAATACTATTCCTACAAAAATACTCTCTATTCTTTATTTTTCAAATTACAAATCATAGGGAAAATAAAGATGAGTTTTGAATGAAGCCTCAAGTCTACACCCATCATGTCATGGTTGTGATGAGAAGCTCTAGCCTGTAGCACTCACCTCCTCAATTCTAAGAGATCTTCAACTGTAAAACACACCATCAGTTCAACTACAGCTTGGGAGAAGAGGAGAGGTAAGAATGAAATAATAGCACATTCAACATACTCAGAACTTTGAAACTGTCAGACTGCCTGCAGAAATGAGGAAACACAGTCAATGGAATGAGAATTCTGCCCCCTAAATTCTCTGTCTCCATCCTTGATCAGCTTTCCCCAAATTCCACTAAGCTGTGGACTTCAGGCCTTTTTGTGTCCACATATAGATACATGCTCCTTCATTCAGATGAATTTGGTGTTCCTTCCACTAATCCAAAGGACACAGTGGATTTTGGAGGTAGGGCAGAAAAACTTTAAAAACTTTCCAATATGAGGGCGCCTGGGTGGCTCAGTCGGTTAAGTGTCTGCCTTCGGCTCAGGTCGAGTTTTGGGATCAAGCCCTGCATCGGGCTCCCTGCTCAGTGGGGAGTCTGCTTCTCCCTCTGCCCCTCACCCCACTCATGCGCTCTCTCTTTCTCTCTCTCTCTCTCATGTTCTCTAATAAATAAAATCTTTAAAAAAATTATTAAAAAAAAATTTCCAATATGAGCAACCAGGGAGCTACTACTCACTGTATTCCCAATGCCATCAACATGGATTGGCAACTAAATATTTGAATGAGTGCATGAGTGAATGAATGAATGAATATATCAATATAGGTCAAAGCAATAACAGAAGGCTGCTTGGCCAGCTCTTAACCCCGGCGCTCATCAGTAAGTCTTTGTCAATTACATATCAGGGAGCATGGCACTAGAGGGAGAATGGATTAGGAGGGGAATTTAATTAGTTGACCTGAAGGTCACATCGGTCTCTCTTGACTCTGTGACGCATCCTTTCTTGACTACTTCCAGTTCTAAACT